AAATCTATAAAAACATATAGAGTTTAATCCGCCAAGCTTTCGTCAAGTGCACTTGACATCATCAGGGCTAAAAAGGCAAATGCCGGTAAAGACTTATATACAGCCATTCAACGCCTGCTTCCGGCTCCTGGAGCGCGTGACCGGCCCCAGCTGATCCTGCCGCACTTCGAGCGCGCTGCCTGCTTTGATGTTCGGCTCCCTTTTCTGAGTTCGCGTCCTTTCGAGTGCTATTACATTCATTACCAGGGTGTTAGACAGATTCGATGGTAAGGCATTCCTGCTTTCCCTGCATACGGCTCCCCCGCTGTTATACGTGTGTCTGTCTCTGACAGGTGGGGGGGAATGTAAGTTGTTTCCTGAGTTCTTACGAACACGGTGTCCACTCTCCCTGCGCCCCGGCGTAGGTCGTTCTTCTTTTTGTTTCCATTCCCCTCCCTCTCCCTCCCTCCCCCACCACTGATCTTGTGCGGTTGGTGAGGCACTTTAGTGCCGTGCACCTCGGCTCCGTCCCTCTCGCGGGGTGCCCCCGCTCTACTTTCCCGGCGGGCCGCCTCCGCTCTGTCAACCTCCGGCTCTGTCTCTCCCCCAAGACGCCCCCCTTGCCCACTATCTGGGCGTCCTCGATCCGTTACTCCACGTGTAGCATTTAGTCGTTCAATCCATTGTCGGCAGGTCGCTAGATGCGCTGGGGAAACCCTCCCTCCACTTCGTCTCGACCGGGTTGTCATAGGATGTCTGACGGTGCACTTGACGAAAGCTTGGCGGATTAAACTCTATATGTTTTTATAGATTTCTCTTGGTGGTCGTTTTATTTTATAATGAATATTCCCAAGAGTCGCATTTTTGTTTTTATTTCCAAATATATATATACTAAATGTAGCACAAACAGGAAATGTTCACGTTAATGCTGTTTCCTACTAGTTAAAGCAGAAAAAAATTATTTGCAAGGGATTGGACACTGGCTTCAGTGCCATCATAGAACCCAAGCAAAATCCCCAGATACTCAGAAATTTTAGACAAACAGGGAAAGCTTAAAAACAACCAGTCGTTAAAAGAACAGGGAATATCTATTGAACGGTGGCCATATTTACAACTACAATCTAGATACAAGAAAGATGTGGAAGAGTATGGAATTGACACGGAACCAAAACAACTAGACAAACTATTGATAGGCCCCGAAGGAAAACTAATATGCAAAATATACAATTATTTATTAGAATTTGATAGAGTAGAGGAGATGGTGAAAGAACCAATGATTGCATGGGCAAAAAACATAGGGCACAATATAGAATTAGAAGATTGGGAAAGAATTTGGAACAAAAATTACACCACAACCAAACCTGCTGCATACAAGGAAAATCAGTATAAAATGCTATACCGCTGGCACTTAGCTCCAGCAAGCCTGGCGAAAATGTACCCGAATCAAAGCCCAAAATGTTGGCAATGTAATTATCGTCAAGGTACCTTCTTTCATGCTTGGTGGCCGTGTCCCGAAGCGAAAAAAAATTGGATTAAGATACAAGGGTGGCTACACGAGCTAACAAAATGCCAAATAGAACTAAACCCGGAAACATTTCTCCTGGGAATACTTAAAAAGAAATTTGACAGGACAATAAGAT